TATATATATATATATATATCGATGACACGGCTCTGCATGCTCGTCCGCACATTCAAAACCCTTCTAGCCTATTAGGACAAGGTTGTTGATGAAACTCTAAACCTTTGACCGCAGAACATGTTGCTTGTCTGCAGCTCTGGTACTAGAAATCCTCACCACTTTTCATTGAAGCAAATCTTGTTGATAGGCAAGTTAGTCTGTATATCTGTATGTGTTCATAATAACATCAGCTGACAACTGAACACAATTTAGGGAAGGAGATGAAATCACTAGTCTACGCACTAGTCACTACTACGCAGGATTCGTCTGATAAGACGGTCATCGATCTGTAGAAGAAGGGGCAGCGACCGAAATCAGGACACACCCATCTTCAAGTTCGAATTCACAATTATAACATCACGCACTGTGATGCACCAGTGGGTATTGGGTTGTTTTCTTATCAGGTGGATAATGCACCGCAAGCAGACATTCCTCCCCCTATATTTCTACCTAATTTAGACCATCGCTGCTAGGATAACGTCTTAAAAGGCAATGGATATGATTCGAACGCAAAAGCCCTACACCTCCCAGTAAGCATTATAATTGACTTTCCTGTTATTCTCTAGAACTTTAAGTACAACCTGTGAGAACTGCTATCCGAAGTAGATGCGCTCTACTTTAAGCTAAGTTCGGGGTAGCTCAGTGGTCAAGGTACAAACTTCCTGATGGAAGGTCTGTTGTTCGAATTCTACCGCGCAATCTTGACTACTCCTGTCTAGGCTTGGGCAACCGAACATCATTTCGGTCCTCATGCTTACCTCCTAGTGGCATGGAAGTAGGCACAGAAAGTTGTTACAGCTGAACGATAATTTATTTATTGATTAACTGAAATTGGATGGAATAGAAAATGCAGCTGGAGGCAGCCAATCTGTTTCGGATAGCAGGTTTAGTCAACTTCGTAATGCTTCTTGTGTTTTCCGATTTCTCTGATCATCATCATCATCAAAGACAGCAACAGATAGCAGGTTAGTCAACTTCGTAATGCTTCTTGTGTTTTCCGATTTCTCTGATCATCATCATCATCAAAGACAGCAACATCTGTGTTGCCACCGATGCTTCACTGCTGTACAACCATAAGGTTTGTCTAGTTATATATATATCACATCAGACCCGGCCTTCGGTCACCGCAGAACAACCATAGGTAGGAGCATTTTCAATACCTTCTCGAGTAACAACATCAAATGCCACAACTTGTTGAAACTGGCCTAGGTAGCGCACCGTTCTATGCTACACTTTCATTGCCCCTTACATTACACCCTAGAGCTTAAAATTGCACGATTGTATTGGTACCCTCCCTATTCTGATCTTGCTACAGGGTTAATTAATCTTTTATTGACCAGTTATACCAATCAGTGATAACAGAATCAACTTATTCTCATCTTATTTTAGAAGGAACTTAAAATAAGTAAACTTCTGTTTCTGGTGAAGTCAAAAAAGTGGGCCAACGTTGTTACAAACACAATATCGTCGGTGGACTTGCCCTGTGCGGTTTCCTGAAATATTTGGCCGGTGTATTTCTCCCGTCACTTGTTTTGTTCTTCAAGCGCTGCATTACAGAAAGCTAAGTTGGGTAGCTGGGGGTTTTCTATTGCCGCTATCAGTAGTGTGAATTCCTCTACACTAGCCAGTGCTGCGATACGTGTCATGCCTCTATGTCATTTGGGAGTCTTTGTATAAAGCGACCACTGGAGAATCTTCCTCGCGTGACACAACTCGCACCGGCTAGCCTCGGATGCAGTTGACATGTTACAAACCCTTACCGTGCCAACGTATTCCTTTTGGATTGAACCGTGTCCCTCAAAATCTGTTGGTCTCCCTATGTTTCTAATTTTGTTTGATAAATTGTGCAATTCCTGCTGCAACCGTAATGTTTTCTTTGCTTTTTAAGTGTACGCATTGTTCTCATCGGTTCTGCAAATGGGTTTCCTTGGGGTCGTCCAGGACTATATCAACGACATCTGTCAAATAGGAGATGACACTAAAGTGCCAAAAAGCCA